TAATTTCGACATATCTACTTCTAGCATAATGAAATTTCTTTGTTGGTTTTACATTATCAATACGAATAAGCTTCATATAATCTAAACATATCGCCATATTGACCTTATGAATTCTAGGCCTGTAGTAATCATGATCTACGAATTTACCCTTACTGAATCTTAGGAATAAAGTATGTACATGGTAAACACTTCTTTTTCCTTCAGAGATCAACTCTTGTAAAGGAACTCTGACCAGAATAGCACATTGCTTCAATGTTTCGTGAGGTCGAATAACTGATAATGTATCATATCATTTTTTAGTCTCATAAAGATCATCAAAGTATCATTGATAATCATTAATACCACAATAATTGTAGATATACGAGACAATATACTTCATATCATATTCCGGTCTATTATTAACGAGTTTTTGCTATTTAGCTTTTTTTGTCAATAATAATAAAAATATTAATACCTGATATATTTGATTATTTATGATATAGATACTTAAAACCAGATTCATTTTTTGTTTGATTGGATTAGATCACTATATTCTGAAAAATTATCACATCTTAGGATTCAATATGCTTATCAAATAAAATCTAACCCTCCTCATTTATAGATTCCAGTGGCTGGCTACCTCCTCCTACATCAGGCATACTAAAATCACTGTCATTTTGTGATGCAGATATATTAAGAGCTGAAGTAATATTTATCAACTTGGATGAAGATTCATATGTCACATTATCTCGACTACTATTCTCATCCCTTTCACTAGGAATTCTTTGAGTGGGAGACGCGGATCGATTCCTTTGATTGGTGGTGAATTCACGGCGACTCGTACTTAGAATTGATGGCACTTTGTAAGTTAACAGTGGAGTATGGTTACGGTAGCATTTTCTCATGGATGTGTTTTCATTATGTAATATGTTGAATAGGGTTTCTACATTTTTTCGCATTTAAACAAAATATTTAGGATTTACTTTCTATATTAACAGAGTATATCCACTATTAATAATTATAATTCACTTATCAGGTCTTTCCCAAAAACGGGAACGGAATTCTTCAAAATATCGCTCACCAGTTCTACTCCTCTTTCCAGTTCTACTTCCTGCTATATACTGTTCTATTAACTTGGTAAAATTATATATTACATCAGGAAATTTTTAAAGGTGAAATATTTCGAAAATTTTTGCCTCGTTAAATTTTCGGAGTTATATGACACCTTCGTAAATTTTCGAAAAAATTTTC